GGATCCAAAGTTCGTTAGAAGGTGTGAGGTGAAGTTATACGCCTTCCTTGACATCGAAGGTGCTTTTGATAATACACTCACGAAAGCGTGTCAAGAGCAGCACCGGTACGCAGATATATTAAAGCCGTACTGCGCACCAGGATAGCTGAAACCACAGTAGGAGATACCCAAATTCGTCTTGGCACAACAAGAGGTTGCCCACAGGGTGGAGTGCCATCCCCCTACTTTGGAGCCGAGTTATGAACGATCTCCCTGAGCTGCTAACTAGCAATGGAGTTCGCTGTCAGGGATATGCGGATGACATTGTTATCTTAGCTAGATTCGTAGAGAAACTCTGCGATATCGTAAAAAGGAGACTGGGGCTGGCAAAGGGATGGTGTAGTGGGCTTGGCTTAAACATCAACCCCTCTAAAACTACTATTATTCCGTTCACTAGACGCAGATCACTGCCAGGCCTCGGAAATTTATCTCTTGACAAGGCTACGAAAATACTCATGGTGTGCAACCAACTTGCTAGGAAATCCTGGGGGTGCTCCCCAAAGACTATTAGGAGGATGTACACCATGATTGTGAGGCCGATTATCACGTATGGAGCGGTGTCTTGGGTTTCTAAAGCATCGCAGACTTCTGTGGGGCTTCAACTATCGAAGCTGCAAAAACTTGCCTGCATCTGCGCATCGGGCGCAATGCATACGTGTCCGACTGCAGCACTACAAGTAATGCTAGAACTCACACCGCTACATATGGTAATCGAACAGACAGCCAAACAGACTCTACTCCGAATGACAGTAGAAGGAGTTGGCAGAGGGAAGGTAATTTCGTCCCAGCAGATGAAGGCGCTAAGTGTTAAAAGCCAATAGCCCTTCTCCCAAGGGACAGCATTACCAAAGTAGTAAGCTTCACTAAGAAGTTCAAAGTTTCTCTTGGCAGCAAGGCGAAATGGAATGATTCATCGCTGGACCCGCGGTTAAAGGAGAGCACTATCAAGTGGTGCAGGGGTCGCTGGGCCAAGCACTAAACTCTTCATTCCCAGGAAGTATGTGCGATAAGTCGGTATGTAGAGATAAACCGCCAACGCAACTATCGCAATAAAAGTATTGCCATACTCAGCGATAATTAGGCGCCACTAAAGGCGATCTCGACATATGAGGTCAGATCGCTTCTGATACAGGAGTGCATAGAACGGCTGAACAGCCTATCCAGCTATACCAGGGGAATAGCCGAGAATGAACTGGTTGACAAGTTCGCCCGCTCTGCAGCCTCCACAAAAATGGTAGGACCAGAACCATGCGTAGCGGTTGGTCCACATACCATTAAAGAGCTGCTCCGCAGGGAGGGAAGAGCAGACAGCGAGAGACATTGGCAACAACTCCAAGGCCAACATGGGCTTAGTCTCTTCTGCAAACTGCCGGTTCTGTGACATGGAGCCGGAAACCCCAGAACACATGCTAGTGGACTGCACAGCAGTCTGCAGACGCAGAACTAAGGCCCTGGGATCGCATCGCTTAACTAGCACCCAGCAGAATATTGGAATTTATCAACATGCTGGGGCTAGATGAGTCGTTGTGACTTAGAGAAGGGCACATTAGACCATAGGTCGCGGAGCATACCTCTAATTAAATCTACATAACCCTACCGTATCACACCATCCCTTTGCTATGCTTAAGCCCCTTTAAACTACATATATCGCAGAGAGTGCTCAAATTTCCCTCTTGCCATTGTCGTCGGCGTACCCCTGACACTGAATTCCATTGTTCGTCACCAATTCAAGGAGGCTCAATAGAAGGGGGACGGTACCCTGCCCTGAGGGCAACCTCTCGTAGTACCAATACGTATATTGCTCTCCCCCACAGTGGGGGTCTTTGTCCTGCCCCTTCAGACCTTCTAGGAGGTCCTATGTGTAGGGTAGCTCCCCTTCACTCTCCGTCATGTGCTCCTCCTGCGGCAGCTGTGTCACCTTGCACGACAGTAGCAGTAGCAGCCTGCTCGAGTGTGCCGGTTCCGGAATGTGTGAGCGCCTCATCCCCCAGCATTGCCTTCTCTGCCGTCTTTCCCGCCGCTGGGGTTTTAGACTTTCAAGGCCTCATTACCACACTGCTGAACATAAAGTTCAGCCTAAATCTCTCGTTCCGGATGAATTTATAGAACTCATCATCAATGGTGATGTTGAGCCTCCTTCCGGCGTCCTCGATGGTGCTGTCCACAACCCTCCAAGCCGAGGTACTGAGCCCTGCATTCTGTTTTCGTATGAGACCAAGCACAAACTCATAGGGTTTTCCTGCGCTCCTGGGAAGAAACACCGTCATGCTGTGCATAGTCGGTATATCTTCAACCATTTTCGAGCATAGGACCGGGCCTCGCCATCCGTCTAGCTTCGAAGGAATCTCCGCAAGCCAGGAGTCCGTCTTTTCGTTGTTGTTGTTGTAACGGTTCCCTAATCCCCGTTTGGGTGATAAATTCCAGATTGGTTGACGTCGAGGTCATCTAACGGGAGGCCCCGGAAACGAGCTGTTTCGACGGGGTCGGACCATAGGGAAAGGGGTGTTAGATGAGTGGGGTTTGTTGGGCATGCAAAGAGGTGGTTAGTGTAATGCGGAGACTCATTGCACGCAGGACATGCGTTTGGTATGTCGGGGTCTATTCTGGATAAGTAGGAGTTTAACCTGCTATAGTATCCAGAACGAAGTTGCGCGAGGGTCACTCTGGTTTCGCGAGGCAACTCGAGCTCTACATCTGCTATGGGTGGTGGTTTGACTCGTAATACGCCATTCACTGAGAGGGAGTCGGTGAAGGTGTTGATGGCTCCACTGTGAATGGCGGTCAGTGCCTGTCTGAAGTTCGTTGCGTCCGAAGTCCGGTCGGCGTACTGTCTAATGTTGTCGACGTAATCAACGAAAGACCTCTTGATGTCCCTAGGAGGCGGCTCCGCTCTACGCTTTCTACGAAAACAACCCAGCAGAAACTGCTTGGAGAGGAGCTCGTTATGTTCCTTAACCGGAAGCATACAGGCCTCACTGTGTAGATGTTCGATTGGGGACATCAAGAGGCATCCCGTGATAGTCCGGAGTGCAGTGCTCTGATAGGTCTGGAGCTTCTTCGTCTGCGTAGCACTACATCCAGGCGACCATATTGGGGCTGCATAGTTATCACGGTCGTGTGAGGAGTGAAGGAGCAAAGACTGTCTAGTGTAATGCTTAAAATTTTAAGGTTGTTTACGGTCGGAATTTTGGTACCATCGACTGAAATGTTTAGATCCAGTCTGTACTCCTTCGTCCAGTTCGTAAATATGGTCGCTGTGGATTTAGTGGGGGATAGTGTCAGACTCCTTGCAGAGAAGAAGCGAGAAAGATCGGAGAGATAGCTGTTTACTTTTAAGCACATGCCATCGATTCCACTGCCCGACGTCAATATCGTGCAGTCATCAGCGTACAAGGTCACGGAAATTCCCTATGGTGGTAGAGGGAGTTTCGAAATGTAGAAGTTAAACAGTAAAGGGGGAGGACACCACCCTGCGGAACCCCCTGTTTAATTCTTCTCAGTTTGGAGTTTTGACCTCGAAACAGTACGGATGAATGCCGACCGCTCAGGTAGTTCACGGTCCACCGCTTCAGCCCTGGAGGAAGCGTAGATTGTTCGATGTCCTCAAGTAGCGTTGTGTGATTGACTGTGTCGAAGGCTTTCGACAAGTCCAACGCTACGAGAATCGTCCTCTCGCAGGGTGGCTTCTGGTTTAGGCCATGAACTATCTGGGCGTTTATGACGCTTAGTGCTGTGCACTTTCCGGAAGAACGTCGGGAGTAACTACTGGGGAAAGGAGAGTTATCGGACAATAAGACTCCCCTTTGTTGGCGGGTTTCCCAGGCTTCAGTAGACCACTCTTCCGACTTTCCACACATCGGGTATTTGACGAGTGGCCATCGACAAGTTGAGGACCTTGATGAGGTAGCTTACTCCCGTCGAGCCTAGATGTTTTAGCATCAGCATGCTTCCGTCTGGGCCAATGGATTTGGCCTTTGTAATGGCACCCTGAACCTCCCCATCGGTGAAAGTAAGTGGTGCGCAGTCTTTTGGCATTTTGCGCAGCCGTCGGGTAAAACATCGTTGTCAGTCGAAGGGTGCAGTGTAAACTGCCGGCTAAAATAGCGCGCGCACTTCTTCAGGTCCGAGGAGGCATGGCCATCGAATTGAATTTCAACCAGATCGTCATGTTTCCTCGAATTTGACAGGGCCTTGACAGCAGCGATCACCTTGCGGAATTGACGCTCGCCAACGATGACGTCCGTAGGAATGGGTAGTGCGTTGAAGGTGCTCTTTTCGTCCTTGCAGTTCAAATATTATATGCAGTCTTTTCGTCCTTGCAGTCGTCAAGCAGCATTCCCGGTCTGAAGTATACACCATGGAATGAGGCGGTGTACCCACACCCATTATAAATCTCATCCACGATGCTGTCTTGCAACGCAGGCAGTTTTTCCGACCCCAAGACCTCCGCCGGGTAATTGCGAGGTAGCACCGCCATCCGAATGCTTTTAAGGGATTCTGAGTATTTGCGCTGGTCCCCAACACCCAGGATGGGATTTGGAGTGGAACGTTGTCCTCCTGATTTCCCTTTTGTCTCTTTGAACTTGGAGGTTCTTATGGTGTTATCTGCCCGCTCTTACGTTTCGCGGTTTGTCCTGTTACGTTCAGTGGTGCAGCCCTTTCGCTTCGTCGTTTCCCAGGCGGAGTTGCGTTAACTAGGCTGTACCTCTGAATCCCGTGTCCAACGACGAACGCGGCGTTTACTCCTGCATGTCTCTTCGGATCCGGAGATGGGTTGCTGCCATTGCTTCTGCCTGAAGAGAGCTTCAATGCTTCCTCCGAGGGTTTTCCGTCCTGCAAGTGCCTGAAGTACCATTTCAGAATGGCATAAAGCAAGCTTTCAAAAAATTTTCAATAGCGTTTTCTGTGTAATAACTACACGTTACTCGGCTCTATTATCTCACGAGAGATTTACATATAGGTGCATTTAACAAGTTCCATACTTTTATTCGTTTACATAAAAATATATCTACACATGTGTTGATTCTTTCATGGGATTCAATATACTACGTATATAATATTTTGAAGGCTTATCTAGTTGACATGGGTATGTTGGAATTTTGGTTTAATTCATTTATCTGTGTTTTTATTATATTTTATAGTATGTATGTGAGTCGTAAATAAAATGCTTTACGCTCTAAATAAATTTATTGATTCTAAAGTTTTAATATCAGGTATTTTGAATATCAACGTTTTTTGTTCCAAAAGTAGGACGGCTAATGAAATAATCCAAAACATCTTATGTTTTCTATATTCGATGATTACAAAGTTACTTTTTAAATATAATATTTAAAGTTTTAATACATGAGCTGTATTATAAAAAAATATAGTCATGCAATTTTGGTCAAAAGAAAATGTGATGTGATTCGGAATGATGAATTGTGGTATTATGGATAAGAAATTTCAGTATTTGTAAATCTTCTATGAAGTACTTTCTAATAACACAGCAGCTGCAAGCTCCAAGCTCCAACCGGTTTTTTGTAACGCCTGTTCACACTGGGGACGATTGGCAAGGCCGAGTCTGCAACAATAGAAGCATATGAAAAAATATAAATAAATATAAGATATAGAACTAATAATATTAAATGAATGCATGTTATACATTTTTTTAGCACCCACCATTTATATATTTATTTTAGATACTTGAATTAACACACCTGGTGAGTTGGTCAATTTTGTAGAGTCGTATTGCGACATTTGCATCACCGTTAGCTGCTCTTAAAGCATTACGCACGTCAACTTCCTGTGCTGCTGAACCTAAATCTTTAAGTATTTGCTGCATTTTTTCATTTTCCTTTGCGGCTTCGGATGGAACAGGTGCATATAAATTCCCACCTCCATTCTCCTGTTGCTGCTTTAGCTTCTCAAGACGACGTTGTATTTGCTGCGCCGAAAGTAGTGGTGGAGCTAACGGAGCTGGTCGATGTGGACGTAAATAGTCGTCGAGCGTTACTTCGTCGTAAATGGCAGCGGGCGCTGCAGATGCTGTAGTTAATCCGCTAGTAAAAATACCATTGTCAGTATCAATAGCGTTCAAAGGTATTTGACCATAATAAGTTGAGGGTGTCGGAGCTACAGCGTCATATAACTCGCGCCCACTAACACTACCATACAGAGAAGCCGCAGATCCATATATTTTATTACCCTGTGTTGTTTGCGGCACAACTCTATTTGAAATCGCCACGAAGCTATGGTTTGACTCTTTGCTATTTATTGCGCTACCATATCGATCTGAGTAATTACTCTGATTTTGGTATGTATTTTCGGGAGGTTGAGAGTAATAAGTTGCAGACGTTGAAATTCCATTGACACGCTCATACCATATTCGATTAATAACATCTTGGGTGTTTTCAGTAAAACCTTCCGTTCTCTCCTCACTACTTGTGGTGGGATTTGTTCCAGCAGCCTCTAGGTTATTTTGTTTATGCTGACCATTAAGACTTTTCGGTGCTTCAGTGACAGCTGCATTTGAGTATTGTAGTTGGTTGTATGTTCCGAGATTTTGCAGTTTAGGAGAAACTCCGTTGCTTGATGCATTTGTTGAGTTCGAAAGACTGGTTGAATTTTTTAAAGGCGTCAAATTTTGTTTGTACACATTTTCCTTACTCGTATACATTTGAATGGAATTGCGTTCGTAATCATTTTGACCCTTACTGCTGTACATATCCTTCTCTAGTTCAGCAATAAAAGATTTGTCCAGCAAAACATTACTCTCTGTGGAAGATTCTGTCTTTAGCTTTTCTAGGCTGAGGGAAGACAAGCTTGTTTGGAGCGCATCTTCACTTTCTGAGATCACATTGTTTTGATTTTCCATGGCAAGCGAATGTGGAACATTTTCTTTATTGCCAGAACAACTTGATGTTGTCGAAAAAAGGCTTTTTCTTGCTGAAGGATTGTTATATAATGACTGTATTGAATTTGCGCGCAATATTGACTGTTGAACCTGGTACGGCGGATGACCCACATTCGTGTACACGGCATTATTTGTATTCACACCATTTCCTGTATCTTTTTCGTAATTCATATGCACACTACTAGTATCAAATGGGTCACGATGTTGCATTGATTGTTGTTGTTGTGTGAATTCAATGGTGTTCGAATAAGTGGGTGGCATCTGATAAGGCGGCGGTTGAAGTCGTTGTCCCAACGGCGAAGTTCCAGCTAAAAAGGTTTGTTGTGCTGAGGCACTGCTGTAAGTAAACGGGGCTGCTACGTACTCCTCTCCCTCGGTTGGGATATCTATTGGTGCGTCCAATAAACACAAGGAGTTACTTATTTTTATAGACCCGCTTTCATCACAGCTTATGGAAGTTGCAGGCGGACCAAACTCTGGTGAAATGTCAATCAGTATACCCTCTATTTGCTGTTGTTGCGGTGGAGGTGGGCGCTGAGGGACTTGTTTGATGTTATTAACTCCCTTTCCTTTTGCGAACTGCACTGATTGATTTCGCTGCAGTTCAGCGGTGCGCTCGTTGACCAATTTATTGTATGCAAACTGTTTACTAGATACTGATTTCCGTTCTTTGGCATGATGCGCAGGTGGTAGCATGTGTGTTTGCATTGAGGCACATTTACGATTTCTCTCTATATATAATTTAATACATTCAATAAAATAAGCCGACTACATATTTTACCTTACTAACCTGATTGCATTTCGGCACTAGCACTCATCGCACCAGCTCCACCCCAACAAAATCCGAAGGGTGAACCAGAATGTCCACCGCTTTGACGAATGCTCTCATGCATCGGTTGAATTAGATCGCTGTTTGTGTGCTTTTGCTTCTCCAATGTACTGCGCGGGAAAACTCCAATATCAAATGTACGTTGGTTTTGACCTTTAATAAACTTCAAGTCAGCGCGACCATCAATAATTGCCAAAGTATCACCAGCATCGATCTGCAGCCGATTCTCCTCACGATAAGAACGTGCTGCTTTATATAAAGGCGGCGACATACCTACTAAGAATTCCCTTAAAATAAATATAGATTTTAAATAGATATAATATAGATATTGTAAGTGCTCACGGATGCTTACTTCAACGCAGCGAACGTTGGACGTTCTGCAGGTACTTTATCCCAACATTGTAACATCATTTCATATACATCTGGGGGGCAAGCATCTGGTTGATGCAAACGTTCACCTTCTCTATCAATTTTTCGTAATATTTGAGATCCATTTAGTCCAACCCATGGATCTTCACCGAATGTGAACATTTCCCAGAGCGTTACGCCAAACATCCAAGTATCTGAGGCATGTGAAAATTGCCGGAAACGTAAGGATTCTGGTGCGCACCACGGAAAGGGTACCTTTTTGTGTTCAGACATCACATAGCAATCATCCTCTTGCGGAAGTGCTCGCATGAGACCAAAGTCGCCGATCTTAATTTTGTTACCGGAAGCAAGTAACACATTTCTACATGCCAAATCTCGATGCAGAAAGCGTTTGTGTTCTAAGTACGCCATACCGGTGACAATTTGTACCGACCAATTCCATATATTAGTTAACGGTGTATGTTTGCACTGTTTACGTAATGTATCCAACAGCGAACCACGTTCCGCTAATTCAGTGATCATCATCATTGGCTGGGATAGTACAACACCGTACAATCGTACCAAATTCGAATGATCCAAAGCATGCATTGCCTGCACCTCACGGAAGAAATCACCAATTATTCCCGGCTGCGTGAGATTATCCGATTTTAGCACCTGCAATCAAACTATAGTATTGTAGTATTATATTAATTTGTACTTTTGTCAACAAACCTTTACAGCAACGGACATTACTTTTCCATTTGGGACGGAGTGCCATTCTCCACGCCTCACCACTCCGAAAGAGCCATCACCCAATTTGATGCCAAGTGTAATATCTTTTTCGTGTATAAGACAAGTAAGTTGAGTGTTTTGATGTTCCTTATTAACAGCTTGTTGTGACTTTTTCGATGACGGTTGCTTTCCACCTCCAATCAGTTTTGAGAGTATATTTTTACGCCATTGATGTGCTTTTTTCTTCCTCACCGCCTCCATAAGTCTGCGTACTGCGGGTTTACCCAAACCACACCGTTCGAGATCCTCCGGTAGCACATAGTCGAAATGGGCCAATCGGGTTACTTGCAAATCATCGCGTATACGTTCGAGGAATTGCTCAAGTTGTACCTCGTGCAACAGGTCCTCTAACCACTCAGTTTCTGGAATTGTACTGGAGAAACTAAAGATCGAACTTGAAGTAGCAGCAAATGTGTCACTGTTTACTGCAGAAGTCATCGTCTTTTTTAAACAATTATCTAAAAATGGAAAAAAGTAAAATCTTGCATTAGTAGAATAAGAATTTTACTAAACTGTTTCTGGTAAAACGTTACGTATAACGGTATAAGAATAAAGAGCTAGGCTCGGCTGTACGTCAGCTACAGCGGTAAACGAAAGCTAAACCTCTGCGAATGGCAGGCACCTTGCCGTGGTGCAGGGGCTTAAGTCGCAAGAGAGATCCCCTGGCTAGCTTTGCAGTTTCCAGCATTTCCGCTGTGAGCAGGCATTAAACGAGCCTGAAGGAGGAGTGGACTTTCGCCTGAAAAACACTACAGTGGTCCGGTAGCCTGAAGTTAAGATTGACGGAGAGCTCCTTGCAGAAAACCCCCCTCACATCTTCCCTCTTAGCTTTGATCCATCCGTGACCTCGTCGAATATGAGCAGAGAAAGAGCCGCCTCGAGTGGACTCAGTGATCTAAATTTTCCGGAATGCAGCTGAATACTCGGACCTCTTCATAAGCCCAGCTTCCCTGAACCTTAGAGCACACTTCCCAGCAATGCACCTACCGGCAATGTCACAGGTGCCATGTTTATCAATAGCATTAAGAGCTATTGTTGGTGTGGTTCGCAGTACACCGGAGATCCGATGAGCGCCGCTCTTTGACCCGCTCAAGCTTTTTAGCCAGTGTGGACCTTTCGAGCGCCTTCACCAGACGAAACACCATAGAACATTATTGGCCTGACTACGGTGTCGTAAAGCCAGAACACCACCTTAGGTGAGTCCTCACCTTTTTCCTATAGCCCCTTGCAGCAATATAATGCGACGCGATGCCTTCTTAACTCTCTCCTCAATGTTTGGCTTGCCGGAAATTTTTCTTTCGAGGATAAGCCTAACGCGAAGTAAAATATTTTTATAAACCAAGTGAGTCTATGACCTTCAATATAATTTAATAAAATATCAAATTTATTGTAATCCATTCACATTCGTCGAAATGAATGTAGGATTTTAAATTTATTTTCCTGCTTTGACCTTTGAGATTGCGTGAGTATAAAGTGGTCGGTTAACACACAACTTAGCATTTCCTTACTTGTGGATTATAAAGTTTTGCCATCAATATAAATGTTCGGTTACAACCGAACTATACTCGTTTTAACCTATATTTAGTTAATAATTTGTCTCTTTGCAAAATTTTGTTAGATGTGGTTATGTATGCCATATAAATTTTTTATGGATATGCCGCTATTTAACCCTAAATACACTCGTATACGTAATTTATTGAATTTCGGACTCAAAGCAACATAAAACGCCGTGAAAAAGTTAAACGTGCATATAATAACTAAATTCTGAATTTTAAAAACTCTAACCATATACAAATGCTTGTCGAAAGAACGTTTAAATAAAATACGTTTGCAAAAATTTTATTCATAGATTTCTGTGTTCACTTTGGTTGTCTTATAGTTTCGAACACGTTTGTATGTATAAATATCTATCTATGGATTAACACCATTCAAGGCATTTAAATGGCGGTATGCTCTAAAATTGTTTTGATGATAGCCCACCTAAAGTCCTTATCGAAATTTCAGTAAAATTAGTATAACTGTTCGGCTTAAAGGACTGAATAAATAGCTTTCGATGATAAAGTTTGAGCAGACTTTTCACATCTTATAATATTTAGATTAGATTAGATTAGTTTCGAGGTATGCACCGCGACCTATGGTCTATTGTGCCCTCCCTAAGTCATATCGTATCATCTAGGCCCAGCATGTTGATAAATTCCAAATTCTGCTGGGTGCTAGTGAGGCGATACGATCCCTGTGTGGAAACATGGATCCCAGGCCGTTCTGCGTCTGCAGACTGCTGTGCAGTTCATCAGCAGATGATCAGGGTTCCGGCTCTAGCCGCAGAACCGGCAGTTTGCAGAAGAGGCTATGCCCATGTTAAAGAGGTGCTCTTGAGCCTGCAATGGCCGGTGTAGAACGCTGCCAGTAGCCGGAATTTGTTTCTGGGAGATTAATTATGGCTTTAAACCGCTTGAGGTCGTAACCCCAATGCAGTCTGGCATGGTGCATGCCCTGAAGTTGTTGCCAATGTATCTCCTGCTTGCTCTTTCCTCCCTTCGGAGGAGCTCTTTGATGGTGTGTGGACCAACCGCTATATGGTTCCGGCCCTACCATTTTCGTAGAGGCTGCAGAGCGGGCTAACTCGTCAGCTAGTTCGTTCCCAGCTATACCCCTATGGCCCGGCACCCAAATAAGGTGTACTCGGTTTTGCTTAGATAGGCTGTTCAGCCGTTCTATACACTCCATCACTAGGAGAGATGTGACCTCATAGGCTGAGATCGCTCTTAGTGCCGCCTGACTATCGCTGAGTATAGCAATACTTTATTGCGATAGTTGCGTGGAGGTTTATCTCCACACACCGACTTATAGCATAGACTCGCTTGGAAAATGCTGAAACTCCCCATGGGAATGGAGAGTTTTGGTGTGGCCAGCGACCCCTGCACCAATCCCCTCCCCGTTTTCGACGTCGGTGTACCACTTGATGGTGCTACCCTTTAGCAGTCGGTCCAGTGAAGAGTCATTCCACTAGATTTGCTGCCAAGGGTTACTTGAAACTTCTACTGAAGTTTACTCTTTGGTAATCCTTGGGAGAAGGGCTAGTGGTATTTCCTCACTTAGCTCTTTCATCTGTTGGGATGAGATTACTTCCTTTGCCAGCTCCCTTGCTGTCATTTGAGCAGAGTTCGTTTGGCAGTCTGTTTGATACCAGGTGTAGCGGTGAAAGTTCTAGCATGACTTCCAGTGCTGCGGTCGGACACGTTCGCATTGCTCCGACGCGCAGATGCAGGCAAGTCTTTGCAGTTTCGACAGTTTAAGTCCTACCGAAGTCTGCGATGCTTTCGAACCCCACGATACCGCTCCATACGGGATAATCGGTTTCACGATCATGGTGTACATCCACCTGATGGTCCTTGGGGAGCACCCCAGGATTTTCAGCAAGTCGGTTGCACACCATGAGTGCTTTAGTAGCTTTGGTTAAGGTCTGGTTCACATGCTGATTCCATCGTAGTGTGGAATCCAGCGTGAGGCCCAGGTACTTGACCGTGCTGCCATCTCAACCACTCTGCCGTCCAGGGATATATCTCCTGAGGCCCGGCAGTGACCTCCGTCTGGTGAAGGGAATGATTGTAGTTTTAGCGGGTTGATGCTTAAGCCAACCCACTACACCATCCCTTTGCCAGTCCCAATCCCTCTGGACGATATCGCAGAGGTGTCTTCAAATTTACCCTAGCTAAGATAATAATGTCATCCGCATATCCCTGACAGCGAATTCCATTGCTAGTCAGCCGCTCAAGGAGATCGTCCACAACTAGGCTCCAAAGTAGGGGATAGCACTCCACCCTGTGGGCAGCCTCTGTGTTGCCAGACGAATTTTAGTTTCTCCTACTGCGGTTTCCGCCACCCTAGTGCGCAGTACGGCTGTAATCCATCTGCGCACTGGTGCTGACACGCTCCTTTTCTCCAGTGCCTTGACACGCTCTCGTGAGACGTGTTGTCAAAGGCACCTTCTATGTCGAGGAAGGCGCATAACATCACCTCGCCCCATCTAACGAATTCTGGATCTCTGAGGTTAGCTGTACAGAGCAGTGTTTGTTGACCTGCCTGCTCTGTAAGCATGTTGCTTCTCATGAAGCGGTGAGCTTCAGCACCTTCGATCGTAGTTCGTGGTCTATGATCTTTTCCATACTTTTGAGTAGGAGGAAGTAAGACTGATTGGCCTGAACGATTTCGCCAATGAGTAGTCTTTCTCCCTACTTTGGGTATGAAGATCACCTTGCGGTGCGCCATGGTTCTGGGATATACGCCAGCGCTAGGCTATCCCTATCAGCCGAACAAGGTGGGGCAGTAGCACCTGCTCCCCTGTTGCAGAAAAGCTGGAAGGATACCATCCGCACCCGGTGACTTATATTTTCAAAGGAGGCCAGCGCCCACTTGATGGAGTCTGCAGGAAGAGCTGTTTTGCGGCTGTCCAGTCCAAGCGTGACGGCCTTCGTTCGACCATAGGTCGAATCTGGTCTTCTTGAATCGTCTCGGAAATGCGCTAGTAGAAGAGCCGTAGCTCTTCTTCTGCGCTGGACGTATAGGTCCCATCAGATCGTTTAATCGCTAGTGCTGTGTCCGTCTTGCCTCTAGCCAGAGCCTTATGCAGTCTAGCTGCCTCTGGCGTTGAGGAGACGCTCTCACAGCTTCTATCCAGCTGCTCCCTACTGCTAATTCTTGTTCCAAGCGATTCCCTAAAAACGGCCCAGTCCGAGTTCCCAGGGATACGTTTGGGAGGGAGTTGCTTGACCCCCATCCCAGCACGAATCTTATGATACGGTGATCCGACATGGAGGGTTCCGATGATACCCTCCATTGTGAGATCAGCCCTACCTCAGACTCGTTACTGAGCGTGATGTCAAGCACCTCCCTTCTGACACTAGTTACAAATGTGGGTTCGCACCCCACGTTTGCTATACTTAAATTCTTACTGACTATAAACTCGATAAGAGACTCACCCCGTGTGTTGCAGTCCGTGCTGCCCCATTCGGTGTGGTGGGCATTCGCGTCGCAGCCCATGATGAGGGGCAGCTTATTCCTCCTGCAATACTCCACCAGGTTGCCGACTGCCTCTGGGGGTGCTGTCGGAGTCTCCCCCGGAAAATAGTGAGTTAGGAACTCTGAAATACAGAAGAAGTCAATACCGTTCCTAAGTACTATGCAGGTTCTAGGTCTCTCACTTGAGAGATCCCAGATTACCTTATTTGACTCCGTTTTGAGGCCCTGACCTCCTTTATTGACCCATGGCTCCTGGATCAGCAGTATGCCCAGTCCATCCATCGTGAACCTGCTCGCGATAACCGCCGAGGCCGACGCCGCGTGATGCAGGTTCACCTGGGCAACTTCTAAGCGCGGCCCCACTACAGGATCGGCTCCATGAGGAGTTGATCCTCATGCTCACCGTCCTCCGCGATGTCTCCCGCCAGGTTGTGAGCCC